TCTTGGGAAGGAACCACACCAAGGTCATGTTTTCTAATTAAATTATTTTAGGCATGGACTAGTCAATCGGACATTTCTTCCACTTTGTACGAAATGTAATTTTATAACCAGTATATATATGGTGAAAAGGATGCATTAAGACCGATATAATACGAGGGCTGTTCAATAAATAGTATTTGAACTGTATGACATACCATACAGATATCATATGACATCAAGCTTGACTTTTTCGCATTATTAAATATTTAATGAATGTATAACTATATATGTGGCTGCTTTTCAAAACATAGTTTAATTTTGAGAAGCTGTGATAATTGATTGATAGATTGAATATTGTTTTAGGCCATGTTTCGGCGGATTATTACTTTAAATTGTTTATTGAAAGATTTTGGTTTCTCTGACGTCCCCCAGTGAGCTTACACTTTTTCGAACTCCAGAGAAATGAATGTTAAAAAATCAAAAAACTATAGTGAAATTAAACTCTTCACTTAAGCTGCTTTAAAACTCGTTAAGAATACTGAAGAAATATTAACTGAAATATGTAGAATTTACAAAGATATATATTAGAATCTACCTGGTATTTTGTTTTCTTCAAAGTAGCACAGTGCTTGTTTGTTCTTTATGGCGTATTCCACACATTTAAGTTCAAGATCAGGGCGTTTAATGCTTCTCATCAAGTACTGCATCATAATTACATTTCTTTCTTGGAAAATTTCCTCTTTTAGGAGAAATATGAACAAGTCCTCAATTGTAGGTAAATTATCTAAAGACAATAATTCCATGGAGGTCAGCGCTACAATAAAATAGAAAAGGAATAAAATTTAAACAACAGAGACTGTCAAAAGTGGTCAAGTTGTAACAAAGATTAATATAAGGACATAGATAAATATAAGGTTTAACTCTTTACAACTTACAGAATTGCTTTGCAATATACATTGAATCCTCACGTCATAGAAATATTACTTTACCATTTCCCCGCAAGCACTTTAAAGCGGGGTACAAATTTCTCTAAAGTTTAGCGTAAAGAATATTCTGAAATGATATTCTAATTAGAAAATAACTTTTCTAATTTTATGAGATTCAAGCAAGTATAAAATAATTGGAATTTGGCAATAAATTGAAGATTAAATGAACTTTTTAAAGTGCGTGAAAATGCGTGATTGCGGGGAAACGGTAAATGCGTGATTTTGCGTTAGAAATAGGAAATGGTATATGCGTTAAAATGCGTGACTGCGGGGAAGGATGTTAATGATACAGTGATTTATCACACCTTTGTCCCTTTAGCTCGTACATATAACTAATTTGGCATTTTTGTTAATCACATTTTGTTACGTCACTATGGGTTTGGTGTGAAATTGATGATATTAGTGTGCATTCATTTATATAAAAAAGGGTAATCTGCATAAAAACTTATTTTTTATTTTGCAAATCAACACTTCATGGGAAATATTTAAATATTTCATTGATATTAAAATTCTACATATTATAGTAAAATACGGAGCTTGAGTAAACCTGTGCTAAGCGACTTTTAGTCAAAATATTGACGTCATATACACAACTTTTTGCAGAAATCATGCAGATTTTAAACTGATCTTCTGAGAGATCTTCTTTTTAGAACATGTACGTGTTTATAATAAGGATATGGAAATAACGAACAGTATTCAATCTCAACGTCCATTAAACAAATATACAAAACAAGATCAGAGCAAACACGGACCTCCGAAACATCAGAGGTGGGATCAGGTGCCATGGAGGAGTGAGCATCCCCTGCTGACCGGTCACACCCGCCGTGTGCTCATTGTCATAATCAGGAAATAACGGAAAAAAATCCGTAGTCAATTCAGTGTATAAATAATGGACTAACAATTGGTATGAAAAACGTCAGTCAGCATTTCATTCAATGATAAATTGTATTTGCTGACAAGGTCATTGTATCGACCATAGAATTTACGAAATGATGACTTTAAACGAGACTGTTGATATTCTTGTTTCATCAACTTGCTTGTCAATGATTTACCTCGTTTAAGAAATTGTTCATACGTAGAGCATGCTCTTGCGTATCGAATCAACTGAGATATGAATACTCCGTATGCAGGTGATGAAGGTATATTGTATATTTATCAAATTTTCTTACATAGAGGAACATTTATTCAATGTTTTGCTTAAAGTCAATATCACCTGTTAAGGTTGATATCAGTGGCTTTAAATCTCTCTCCGATATTTCTCTGATGAGATCCAGCTTAAGGTTATTGAATCTGATTGAAGATCCCTTCTTACTGAAGATTGCTGTAAGTTTACTGGTAGCTATAAAACAATAACTAAACATAAAAAGTTAACAATTTACCGGAAGACTGTGCATTCTTCATTTTGGTTTGCTGGTAATGATTGAATACTTTATTTACAAAGATAAATATTTTCTTGAAAAATACAAGCATATGCCATGTTTCAAATTAAATTAGTAAAAGCTTTTAGATATATATTTTGCAAGGTTAAAACTGGAATAAGATTTTGTTACAATGGAGTTTACATTCATTCACTACAAATATGTACTTTGATTTCAATAATTCTATAGCAGAGGAGATATATGGTTTAAACATTATGTACCTACCTTTGGTATTTGGCACTTCTTCATTTGAGCATGAGCACCTTTCGTCTAGAAATTATAAAGAATGATATGTTGTCATAAATTAACAAATTGGCGAAGAATTATTAATAGTACCGGGTAATCTTTGCTACACTAAGTTTACTAATTAATTTTACTTTCTTCTTATATCAATTAAATTGAGGTAACGCATCTCGTATAAATGGTGGTAATACACAATATCTTTTTACAATGCCAATGATATATTCGTAAGAAAAATACTTTTAATTCTTCTTATTATCAGTTGGGGAAATAATACAAGAGTTACTGAACTCTTATTGGTGGATATTGGAAGTCGTTGGTTGTACAAAAATATTTTCAAGTTTATTTAAGAGACCAAGAAAGTCATAATATATAAATCATACATTTAATCTTCCTAGAAAAGAAGAGTTCAGTATGAAATTATATCATAGATAATTATCAGTTAAAGGCGAAACGTTTTTTTTTCCAAAAAAAGTCATATTTTTTTCTTTATCTCTTGAGGAATTTCAAACACACCTGGAATCTCCCTTGTAGTGGTTCCAATAAAGTTTTGAACCTCAATATGTATAAGATGATTTTGTAACGTCACGTTCTGTTTAATACATAGCAGTGGTTTAGGAAGATTATTTGATGACCCTTTGTATTCTTCACTTGTGATGTCTAATGCTTTATAACTACCGCTGCTTTCATTTTTTATGCTCCACTGAGCTTGAATTGGTTCCGGAACTGATTTTATCAAGGCTGTAAAAACTTTTTTGTCAATTTCTTGTAAATTTGGTCCTTGTATTTCAAGTTCAGGAACTCCTGAATAAAAAATATAAAAATAATTAATTATATCAAAAGATTAATAAATGGTACCTCACCAAGAAACCATACAAAACAATTAGTTATGGATTTATTTTTCATGAATAAATTCAAACATGTGCAATATTTAATTATTTTGGGATGCGTAAATTGAGGATATAAAGCATTTGTCGCCTTATTATACCCCCACCCCATCCCCAAAAAAGCTTCAAATAGGAGTCACCTTTTGTGATTTTGTCATGTCCTTTACTCAAGGTCATTTGGGCAAGTTCAAGGTAATTGAAAGAAAAAAATCATAATTCCAGTGTTGCAACCACTATTAAAATAATTATATCAATAGTGGTTGAGAGTTCATATCAGTAGCAAACATACTTAGTAACCACTATTGAAACTCGATCACTATTGAAATAATTATTTCAATTGTGGGAGAGAGTGCATTTCAAAAACAAATATAGGTTTCAACCACTATTGAAATACGACCACTATTGAAATAATTATTTCAATAGTGGTTGAGAGTGCATTTCATTAACAAACATAGATATTAACCACTATTCATATACGACAACTATTGAAATAATTATCTTATTGGTGAGTGTGAGTGCATTTCAATATAATAACCATAGGTTTCAACCACTATCGAAATACGACCAGTATTGAAAGATAAGTTTCATCGCGTAATTTTAAATTTTTTATCCAAAATTTTACAAAAACTAGAAATTTATTAATTGCGTCATTTTAAATGAAATCAGACTAAAACCTATATACAAATCCAGGCATCCAACTTTATTTGTATCATCTGTCCTTAATTGAAGATTAAGATAGTTATTGAAATTATAATTTCAAAAGTGATTTAAATAATTATTTTAATAGTTGCTGATAATACTTCAAAACTAATTTTAATCCATACTGAAGTCTTTATTTCAAAAGTCAACATTATCTCAGTAGTGGTTGCAACCTTTGTTTGTTATTGAAATGAATTTCACCCACTATTGAAATAATTATTTCAGTAGTGGTTTTATTTCAATAATGGTTACTAACTATGCTTATTATTGAAATGCACTCTCAACCACTATTAATATAATTATTTCAATAGAAATTGTTTTTCAATAGTGGTTACTAACCTGTTTGATATTGAAATGCATTCTCAACCACTATTGAAATAATTATTTCAATAGTGGTTGTATTTCAATAGTGGTTACTTACTATGCTTGTTATTGAAATGCACTCTCAACCACTATTAATATAATTATTTCAATAGTGGTAGTATTTCAATAGTGGTTACTAACTAAGTTTGCTATTGAAATACACTTTCAACCACTATTGATATAATTATTTCAATAGGGGTCGTTATTTCAATAGTGGTTGCAAGATTCGTGCCTGGTCAATTTCTTTCTTATGGATAATCTTGGTGAGTATTTATTTGACCCGATGGTGAGTCTTGACCTTGACCAAAGATCAATTGTGCTAGGTCACTGAAAGAAAAAGTTCATAGATCTTCGTCCGTATCTTTCTTGTGAAGGACCATTAGAATAAACTACTTCACACAAAGATTTATCATGACCTGAGTGTGTGTCATGAATTTGAACCAAGGTTGTTTGGGCAAGGTCAATGTCACTGAAAGAAAAAAAATCATAAATTGTCTCCGGTTCCTATTCTTAGTATTGATTATTTTTATTTGGCAACATATTTCAGTTCCATTCATTAAAATTAGGCCATAACTATTGGTAAATTGGAATGGTTTCAGGATTAAAATTTTCTTATCGGAAATCATGGCAACCATTTTGTTCCACGAATAGAAAAAAAAATACCAAGAATAATCTTATTCCCAATCGTTGATCCCACTGCATTAGAGGCTTTACACTGATAGGTCCCAGCATCTGATTGGTCCACGTTTGTAATGGTTAATGATGGTTCATCAAGTGTTCCTCCGGTATACTTTCCTCCACTTCCGAATATGTCGATTACACTTCCGTTTTTCTTCCATACAATTTCACTCAAAAGAGGAGATTGTTTATAAAGAAAAACCTGGCACGTCAATATCACAATACGGCTTTTGATGTTGGTTTCATGGCCGTTTGAAATGTTTGGGGGATCTAGAAAGATAAGAAATCAAATTCACCTGAAATGTTTTATACCCTTTATTTTTAATTGATATTATACAAGACCCCGTTTTCTACGTACCTCCTGTAACGTTCAGAAGAATAGTGTTACTGACACATTCTCCAATGCTGTTCCATACACGAAGTCGGTAATAAAGTTTGTCATCAAACGTTAGTGATGTCAATCTAAGTACAGGATTACTTGGATCTAATATACTATTTGCATATTTTCGGTCTCTAACATAAATAGTTTCAAAGATGACAGCATCAATACTTTTTTCCCACACCGCTCTTTCCGCCGGTGGACAAGACGATACAACAGAGTTTATATCAGTGTTCTCCCCGTAACAAACGGACTCTGCTAAAATACTGACCTTTGGTACACCTACAAATGAAATTTTGCAATATTAAACAATTCAATATTAAATCAGCATCATAAGTTGTAATTTACCATACCTGAAGTGGCATTTTAAAACAACAAACTAACCTAAAATTATTGACTCTGCAACAGCACCAACTGCATTGGCTATAATACAGGTGTACTCTCCACTGTCTTGTAGGGATGGGGAAGTTATAGTAAGTGAAGAATTTATAAGATCCCCTCCAAGATACTTTTCCTGCTCTTTAGTTATTACCTGGCCGTTTTTGGTCCAAGCAATATGATGTACTTTTGGAGAGTCTTGTGATACTTCATACTTGTAATGAAGAGTTATACCGTCCTTTCCCGAGGTAACTTCTAATTTCTTAAGAACTGGCCTCTCTGTAACGGTTTATTTATTTAAAGCTGAAAATCTATTCAGCAGAATATTCTAACGTCCAGTTTTGTAATTGCACATTTAATAGAGTTTATTGTAACTTAGAAAGGAAGATCTCTTCGTCTTATGATGTGTCAATTTATGTTTTTAATAGCAATAACTTCTCACAAGAAAACGAATGTTAATTAAACAACTCTCATTAAAGATAATCTGATAATAGCAAATTACCTCCGGAGACTTTCAATGTCAGCACGTTGCTTGGTATTTTGATGTGCTGCCCATTAGAAGACCCAGATATAATGGTCTGGTAGTCACCCTGGTCCTCCTTTGATGTCCTCTGTATGACAAGTTGTCTATTGGTGCTGTCTGTATATTTCCCTGTACTGGTATCAATCTGTTCTAAATTGTTCCCTCTAACCTTGTGCCACGTGATAGGCCAGTTCTGTGTTGACGTTGATGTCTGTTCTATGTCAGCTTCAAGGTATGCCGTTTCTCCACACATGATTGTTGTATTCCCTCGTAAAGTAATCGTTGGAAATTCTTGTGTAAGAAAATTAATATCATGACAATACTGACTTCAGAGCAGTTCGCTATAACTATTGGTACGCATTTTTAGACGACATCGACAGAAGTCATAGAAAGTGAAATTGAGAGAATGTGCGAGGGCAATAACACTTATTCGGAGGTTAAAATTGCTTGATTTTTTTTTACCGCTTACTGGAGTCAAAAATAATTGTTATGTAATCCCTGAAAACTTATAGGACAGAATCTTGCAAGTGGAATGAGGGCTTAATAAATTACTGTTAAAGCCATGTGTACAGAACAAGGTAAGTTATGTAATAATCAAAACTTAAGAATTAGAGAAAGACTTGCCTTCTTTTTCTTTCATAATCCTTAGTGTTGCCTCTAGCATGAGTTTGAACTTTTCCATATCTTCAAAACCAAAGTTACATTTTCTAACATCTGCCAGTTCTTTCTCGTAATTAACTGGATTGAACCCTTGTTTCCTTAAAAATGAATCCATTCGCTTCATGACATCTTCTATCTCAGCCCAACGTGCTTCAAACAGAGCATCAGGGATAGATGAAGATTCCAAATGTCCAAGCATACCGTTCCTGAACTGCCTGAGACGTTCAATATCATCAGCGATCTTTATATCAGTGGCCTTTGGTTGTTTTCCCCATCCCTGTGTTGGAACTAAGTGCGGACAAAGATTTTGTATGAGTTTATATAACAAGGAAACATCAAATTTACCATAGTCAGGAATATCTGGAGGCAAAAGAAAGCACAGTTTCCGCTGTTCATCATTCAGTTTGTATTTCCCGGTTAACAAAACAGTGCAAGAGCTGATGGCATTGTACAAGTTAATAGGCTTGATAGAAAGTATAAGGATATCTTTCATTGGTAATTTAATTTTGTCTACTACGGCTATCCCTAGACGGACAAAATTTTGTTGATCAGTAGGTAACAGCTTGGATGCCATTTTTGTTTTATCAGCTTATGGAAATTTTAAGATAAAATGATCATCCAACTCCTGATTCATGCTCTTCTGTCACTGAAAAAAGAAAGTGAACGATCATTTAGATGTCAACTTTTCTGAACAATATTGTGATTTTTTTTTTCATCTGTCAGCATAATAATCAAATTACATATGTTTTTGTCAGTTTGCTTAGGACATCGAATAGGACGGGAGATAAATGTATCAGATGATGATATTTAATGATAAAATTATCAAACATATCATAATCCGCCGCTGTATCTTGTAATTAATCACTTCCATTTTTTTCAAAATCATATACTTCAAGCGAACGTTAATATAAATAAATCTGATTGTATATAGGGTTACTCTGAAGTTGATATTATAAGACATTTAAGTTTCTCATTGACAACATCTAGTCAGAGTTACCGAATAGGAAACAGAAATCTTTGAGCAAAAAATATTCATAAAAATCAATAAATATTTATATTCAGTGTAATTTTCCTGATGAAGTCCATTAGAAACCAACGAAGTTCAAATTTCTTTAACACACGCGAAACCTTGTCACCGCGCGTTAGAATTTACAGCAGGAACTATAAGCATTTTCAGTACTAAAGGGACACCAAAATACAAAATGTTTCATTTCAATTTAATGAAAAACTATAACCCAAAAAAATTAAACTAAAAATTAACAATGTGTGCTTTAAGAATTAATTTGTCACTTTTTCCTCTCAATGTTTGTTTGCGTTATTTAACTTTGCAACGTCATTTGACGTCACAAATGGCTCTTACATCTATTAACCACGGCAGTTTTGAAGGGCGCTAAAATCACATTTAAGATGAACGAAATAAGCAACTATGAAGAAGGAAAGTTAGAAAATGTAAATATAAGCATTGAACTCATATTATTGGAAAACAATACTGAAAGGATTGCGTATATCTATAACTGTATAAATACAGGTACGGGGTCAAGAGGTCATATATGTGAGTATGGATAATCGTTTGACGTAATTTCTCAGTGACATAATAAAGAGTCGACGCCCGTTCAGTGCATAACATACTAATATTTGCCGTTGAGTTTGAAAAATAATTCATTTTACACGTACGTTAAAAGTCACAATCAGACAAATATAAAGTGTTAACAAGTTTGGCTTTCCAGAAAGCCTTAAATGTCATCTCTTTGGCTTCGTTAATGTCACAGAGTATACAGTGGATTGTAACTTTTTTCTCACTATTAAAAGCTTAAGAACTTTTTTTTGAAAAACATATTTATTTGGGGAAGACATAGCTATACTTTAACAAAAATTGTGAATAAGGGAGGAAGCTTGCAGTAAATAGATACAGCAGTAAATGGTTAAAAGGGTTCGGACGCAGATTTGGAAATTTCAAACAAATAGTTAATAACATGATTCATATGTTGCTAAAGCATTTTAAAAACACGGTTACACAAAAATATATTGAAATCGTGTTCAGAAACCTTTTTTTCTTAAAATTATAAAAAAAAAAACGAAGTTCGAGACACATTTCATTGACACATACCCATGCACTTTCGCAAAATACATTTTATCATAATATTTAAGAAAAGAACATATTTTGTTGTGAATGAAGGAAAATTATTAAAACCATGATGCGGAAAATTCAGAGTACACTGTAGAAATTATTGTTATAACCAACTCAACAGAATTTCAAGGCTTTGTCCAGTGATGTGTGCATCCTAAACAAACAGAACACTCCCTGTAAAATGCAAACAATGACAACAACTCGCGTTCTATTATTTTTTCATAAAAAAAAGCTGGCACAGGTGTTTAACGTGATTTGATAAAGAATCGAATATCTATGTTGGATAAATTCATTAAATTGAAGCTATGTTTTGAATTAACAAAGAGAAATGTGATTGTAATTAACGCAACTAAAGTCAATGTCCAGGCCCCTTTAAAGTTTAGATGAATGGAAAGGCGCCCTCCTGATAGCACGTTATATTAAAACTATATGAAATTATGTTTTATTAACTTTAAATATAATTTGTACAATGTCTTTAAAAAAATTGTAACCACTAAGCAATATTCGTAAATTTTATAAACATTTTCTTTTAAAAAAAAAGATAGGTAAAACCTCAGTGTTCTTTTTTTTTACCTTACTAAGTGTATGACAGCAGTCCAAAAGTTTTTCGACGATTTTCCTTAATCGCATTCTTTTAAATAACTTGACCATCGTGCCCATGGGGATATAAATACTGGCGCACACCCCCCACCCCTTTAAAGATTTTAAGGTATGATATGACTAGTATTAATAATGCCGACCGTACTTTGGTAAATAACTAACCAATACCACTATTATTGTGCCTGGATTTACTATTAAAATAATAATCTGATTAAAGTTATCCCACTAATCACAAATGCAGTGCATGTATCCGCCCATGTAAATGAGGAATGTATTAGGGTTTTGGTTTCATTTAAAAAATGTAGGAGAAGTGTTTTAGTGAATTTTGTGTCATTGATATAATTTAAAATTGCATAAAAATAAATGTAAGTTCTTAAATTATATTTGAAATCTTAAAAAGGAAAAGTGTAGGAATGCAAAAAAAAAAAAAAAAAATACTCGCAATGATTCTTTTTGGGGTTTGTCATTCTAATGCCTGTAGTTACTTGTGCTTTGAATTTCTAAAAAAAAAAATCTTTTCTCGTAGAATACATTCGCTGAAGAAGATTAATTGTATTATTCAAAAAATGGCAGGAAATAATGTACCAAATAGAAAAAGGTTCTGTCATCATTTCATATTCAGTATATGCGCGTACTACTGTAAATGTTTTAACTTTGATATTTTTATCTGTTAATCATTGGATCCACGCCTCACCTGATATTTAGCGAGCGTTTATACACATGCACACTCTGACCTAGTTAGAATTTTCTATCGAGCGCTGACCATCATTTACGCAATAGCTTAGAAGACTACATAATTAAGAACATATATTTTGAAGACCCATGCACCACCACCCAAGCGATATCTCTAATATTTCTGTGAAGCTTGTTTTCTTTATCGATAAAAGACAAATCGCTACGTCCCTAGTCTTTTTTTTTTTTAGAAAATAACATCATCGTCAATCATTGACCACTCGGTGTTCCTCAGATGTCTAGTGCCTTGTACTACTGGAGCGCAAGGGTGTCAGCTGAGGAGTACCGGTTGATTAATGGCAGCTTACATAGGGACTTTACTTCCGGAAATCAAACTTAATGTGTCATCTCTCGTGAGAGATGACAATAAGTCACAAATGTAAATTTAAGTAATAAGGTAATATGTTTTACGGTGTGACCGTTAGTGAGGGCGGAGCCGTGAAGTGAAAATTGCTACAATTTATTGTTTAATCAATAATTAATGATAAATCAGTTGATCAGTTAAATTCTGAAATTGTCAATGCATGGTCCTAAAGCAAAGGGTTAGATTCATGCAGATCTATGGTCAGTGTCAGAAAATCATAACAAAAAACTCAGTTCTCTTGAAAAAAAAAGTTTTCCCATCTCTTACATGTACCTCATTACTTTTCATTCAAATAATGCAAGATACTGAGTATTTAATCATGAGATGAATGGTTGCCTTAAATGTCTAGCCAGAGCACTTAAAGTCGAAGAACGTCGTGGGGAAAAAGAGGGGCATGCATTGGGCCATTGGACCAGTAATGGGTTCAACATACAAGGCCAAAGAAATGTGAGACACCTAGGTCCAATGACACCTTAAACTTTTAATAATTTATAGTTATACATGTAACAGTAAACTCGTTCCAAAATACTAGTTATATCCAACAAATAATAATTCAAAAAAAATAATCAATTCATAAACTTTTTCTCAGCACCAATTCTTTTTCTTTCACTTCTTGATTTATATGCTTATTTAACAACTGTACACTGATCTAGAAACCTAAAGTCATTTCTCAACTGTTATTACTCCCATTACATGGTAATGATGTCATCTAAAGTAAGAACAATATCATTGACAAGACCAGGTCAGAAGGCGAACTTGGGATCCAAACTACAGACAGATGATCTACTTCCTGGATGAATCTAATCATCAGACCAACATTTGACTGAGTTACTATCACAAGGGTTGAAAATATAGAAGCATCACACAGGCGCTGGTTAAAAACGTCAAGCGCCTGTGAAGCATCACACCTTTTAAGAGAAAAAAAATTTCAAACAAAGATTCTGAATAAATATTTACCCGGTACTTCATGTCTTTAATAAACAGATTTATTAGGATTGAAAACTATATTAATATGCTTGATCATGAAGTTGATGTGTATTAAATTTGAGTATTTTAGTGTACATATAGGTACAGGTATGTATACATTAACAGCATGCACTGCACTTTGAAGTTGTATATAACTTTGTGGATATTTTCATGCATTTACTGAAAAATGTATGTAGACTGAACATCTACCTCTCCAGACTGTACATTATACATTGTTTTTTCCTGCTTTAATATAGACTTTATATGTTATTTCAATTGTCAAAAAAAAAATCTTTTTGAATTTTTTAAATGCATACAGCGTACTCCGGTATTAGATTTTCCTTTTTATAGTGATTTTTAAAAGAAACTGAAATTTTGTAATTTGAAAAACTTAACAAAATATTAAATTTTTAAAAAATTACAACAAAAATGATACTCAGACTTCCATAGATCTGCTAAATATTTATGTATCCATGTACAACAAGATATTCATAAATACATGTAATTTGGATACCTTAAAAAAGGGACAAGAAAAAAAGAAATCCACACCCTGTGAGACTTTTCACAGGGTATTTTATTTTATCACTTTTAAATAAAATTTAAACGTTCAAAAAATTATACTGTAAAAAAAATCCTCTATTTCTTGCTTTGTATGTATTGACGAGTATAATCCGGCAGACATTTATTATTGAATGGCAAATAAATACGGATTTTCTTGTGAAAGGGGCCACAGATAGATCCGCTCCTCCATCGTGCAGACGACAGCGCCGCCTTTAGGGAAATTCTGACCAATCAAATGCCGTTTTACTTGTTAGCGCGAACTATAAATAAAACCTAAGCGTCTAAAACGAAAGTAGGAAGGGTCTGATTACAAATGGATTTGATTTGAAGTTAAAAAGAAACACTACACATTATCCTTGGGTTAAATGTTTTTACTTTGATGAGTCTCATCAACAACGAGAATTTGCGCGTGGATAAAATCGACGCCATTTTAGCGACGACGCCATATTGGCGACAAGAATCTCAGTTCCATAGGTATTGTAAATGACATATAGTTTACAATACATTTCTTTTATTTTTCATATACATACGTGTTACCTATAGGGAGAGCTTCGCTCTCACGGGCCCTTCGGGCCCGTGAGAGGGCTCCGCCCTCTATCATTGTAAAACATCTATCCGGCTATAAATACGGGTTCCGGGGTTGGTACAAGATTAAATTCAACATAAAGCCCTTCGGGATTTATGAAATTTAATCTCGTGACCTACCTGTATTTATGTCCCGATAGATGTTTAAAAATGATTCCTTATTTCTTAAATATCTATTTTTGAAAAAAAAATGTTTATGGCGCTTTTCAATTAACAGTTTTCTCGATTTAGTACTTACCTTTTAACTTTTATTTTAGAGCACATAAATATTTCAGTTATTGGACATGTCAACATTCCAAAACGAAAGTAGAAAAAAATCATGATTTTAAGAAAATTACCTTACTTCTTGGTTTTTTAATTTCACATTCTTTCCATGTTTGAATAATATTATTACCATGCATTTCTAACCAAAAATCCTAAATATTCTTGACTTTGCGCATTTTTATACACTCTCTCTACCCAGAGTTATCGTTCCAGTTTTCACCCAAAGCTCAAAGGTGTTGTAGCGAAGCGAACGACAACTCTGGGTAGAGATTGATATGCACTTTTAAAATAGCAGGAGAATCAAAGGATTGGAAGTATTGAAAGTCGGCGTCATCTTTTTCAGCTGAATATTGTTTCATCCATTCATAAAAGAGTCATCATTTGTAGAGTAAAAATTACACTTAATTAAAAAGAAATCAATTATTTATAAGAAGGGGGGAGTAAGAGTGGATTAAAAAAGGTTATTATTATTAAATTTACTTTATAATAGAAAATGTTGAATTTAATCACAACGGATAATGAATAAGTCCTCTATTTAAAAAAGGAATTTTAAAAATCATTATAAATATAACAAATATTTTCAAATATGTTTACAAATCAAAATTGGAGAGGACTTATATCGGCCATGCCTGATGTCCAAAACAATTATGTAATCTAACATAATAAAATATTGATAGAATTAAAATTAAATCAAAATATGATTGGAACATATTATCAAAATGTGACCAAGTGAAATAAAGATGTTGAGGTTTGTATCGTGGAGTTTTTTCAGTAAACATTAATATTTTATTTCTATCTCAAAATATTTATAATTGTATAGATATTTATGCCTTAAGAATTTCAAATTGTATAGAAAAAATCATAAACATATTGATCCTGAAATATAATTTTCATAAGATGAAATCTTTGACACCGATTCTGGACCGGGGCCTTTTTTTCATGTGAAGTCATTTAAATCACATTGAAAAGGCATATAATTTTGTTTGATTTTAACAGAAGCAGGCAAGGAAACGTAATTTCAGTTTCCATTATTTGTCAATGAAGTTTGTATTTATTATGCACGAGACTAAAACAGTCAATGTACATAATAACATACATTTATTCATCGAAAACGTAGGAAAAAAATCCAATATTTCACTTCTAAGTTGACAGTATTATGATTACATCTTAATTAATGATTTACTTTGAATAAAACACATTGTGGACTGCTTCAATGAAAGATATGGAAATAACGAACAGTATTCAATCTCAACGTCCATTTAACAAATATACAAAATAAGAGCAGAGCAAAAACGGACCTCCGAAACATCAGAGGTGGGATCAGGTGCCATGGAGGAGTGAGCATCCCCGGCCGACCCGTCACACCCGCCGTGTGCTCGTTGCCATAATCAGGAAATAACGGAAAAAATCCGTCGTCAATTTAGTGTTTAAATAATGGACTAACAAATCGTATGAAAAACGTCAGTCAGCATTTCATTCAATGATAAATTGTATTTGCTGACAAGGTCATTGTATCGACCATAGAATTTACGAAATGATGACTTTAAACGAGACTGTTGATATTCTTGTTTCATCAACTTGCTTGTCAATAATTTACCTCGTTTAAGAAATTGTTCATACGTGGACCATGCTCTTGCGTATCGAATCAACTGGGATATAAATACTCCGTATGCAGGTGATGAGGGTATATTGCTGCATAAGTAAGGGAAGTTGACGATAGAAAAGTTAAAGTCATCACGTTTATCATAAAGCTTGGTTGTTAAATTACCATTAGTGTCTTTTTCAAGTAAAATATCCAAGTATGAAGCAGAAGTGTCGGACTCTGTGGTATCTTTTATCTCAAGCTCACCAGGATATACACATGTATCGTGTCGACGTAGGAATGGAAATTATCATTATTAATTGACAATACGTCGTCGACAGGGTTCTCCATCATTTGAAATGTTACTGTGTTGCAGAGTTTATGCGAAAAACTAAAATTTGGCGGTGTTTTTGCGATCAAATTCGCAACTAATTCACTATTTATAAAAATTACAAAAAATACATGCACACACTTATTTAAAAATCGCAAATTAACTACACAAATGATATGGTCGCACATATTGATAAAATAAAAACACTTCTGAAAAACAGAGGAAATTCTGACCGATACAGTCGTATTACTTAACATTTTTGAAAGTAAATTTGCCCTGATTATTTACAGTGGCGCCTCATTTATCCGGACGCTTTGGTTCCCAGGCAAATTGTCCGGATAAGTGAAGCGTCCGGATATCTGAATTCTATTGATTTCTCTTCCAGGGATACTGTATTTGTATAGTAACTCTTATATACAATAATACAAAGAAAGATATTAAAATGCTATCATTTAGAAATAATTAATTATTTCTTTAAACACTTTAGTATACATCAGCACTACTTTTACACTTTTTCAAATATAATTATTATTTTTATAGCTAAAAACTAGATGCCGACTCGCGCTCTCTTTGTCGGTAGTGTAGACCATAGGCGCTTGGTTACAGGATGGTGTATTATTTTGTGTATTATGGGTTTTTCTATGTGTGCCTGAATACTCTCATTAAAATAAAACTAAAAATTCGTCGAAATTAGCAAGTTTTAAAAAATGTCATTTTTACTGTATATAAAAAGAATATAGGAGCGCCACTCGCCATCTTGAAAATCAAGGGGTGCCTCGGTTCACATTTTATTTTAAACAATATCTACATTTTTCCTATTTTTGCGAATTTTTAGTTTTATTTTAATGACAGTATTAAGGCACACATAGAAAAACACATAATATACATAATGCACCATCCTGTAACCAAGCGCCTATGTATCTGACATAATAAAATTCACGTAGTAGTCATCCCTTGGAAGTGAAATCATCGATTGTCTAAAATTATTCAAATTTGATTAAATGTTTTAAGTTTTTTTCGATGATAACTGCCACTAATCTCAGGAGGACAATACCGATGTGTGTGCCGTGTGTAGACTACGAGATTATGAAACTATGTCGTCCCGTCTATAAATAGAAAATTATCAAAACCAGATATATACTAAAATTATAAATATCTCCAGATATTAACAAATAACTGAATAATTTTTTTTCTGTTATCAACACAGTTAATTGTTTATTTTCATTTGTGTATCCATCTCTCGTATATTATGACCATACCCACTTCGCTGAGGACTAATCATCGTAGTCATTCATAACACTGGCACACGTGATCGTCTTGTAAAAACAATCAATCCGACCAGTGTTTTGATAACAATTATCACCCAGTTCAGGCGTGAATGTTGACAAAAAAAGGAAGTACAAATTAAAATTTACCGGCCGGATAAATGAATCAATTTATAACGTAAAAATACATTTTGTAGTAAAAAAAGAGCCGTCCGGATACGGAACGCGGAATTCCGGATAAATGAGTCAAAATTACTGTAGTGGAGACACCTATCGGTTATACGAGTTATTGTTCTTGGTCCTGGGGCGGAGTGCAGTTGTCCTTGACAACCGGTACTCCTCCGCTAGGATCCGGGCGTTCCCGACGCTATCCGCAGACAGTCTGATTTTCCGTGTTATTCAATACAGTCATAATTATTTTTTAGGAGCTTGACTCCATTCAAATTCATTGAAATCTTTATTTATAGCGTCCAATATACCTATTTTGTCTTCAAAACTTGATTCCTGAAAGTATTTTTCCATAATCTTCAACGTTACAGGTAATTTCCACTACACGCCTTTTCTATTTTGTTGTTTTGTTGATTCTTATCATCAATAAATTTTATCTAAATTTAATAAAGGTTTTTTTGTGTTCATTTATATCATGATTCGGGATCTCGTTACACTCGGGACTGTTTAAAGTAACTACCATCCTGTAACATTACGTTGAAAAAATCCGTTCCCGAGAAAAATCGTCCGGAAGGTGAAGCTTCCGGATATCTGAAGATCCACTGTATCAGTTTTCTTGATCGATTTATCACATTACAAAAAAGAAAAAACTTCAGAACATTGAAATATTTTAAGAGTTCCTTGAACATGTTCAAAATTTCAAACAATTTATTTACATCAATTAAATGACTTTGATACAATGTTATGTCTGACTTATAGTGCTAAAATAATTCTATAGCCGTGGCTCTATAGGAAAGACATATTTAAATATTTTTAAAAAATATTCTTATTGCAACTGCCAATTAACCCTTACATGGAAGTGTGAAAACAAATTATTTGTCTTTGTTCCGTCATGCGTAGAGTCCGGTGAGGGTCTAAGAGATAATTGATTATGCAAGGTGAAGCCCTACTGCTTAAGGGCTTTAACTTTTATAATTGAAAGAACATATAATTGTTCAATAAAAGTCTCAGTTAGAAAAAAATTGACATGTGTGTTTTGATTTTCTAATTATCACATATCTTACTGTGTCGGCAAGATTTTTACTGTGTTGCATGCATAAAATTTGAATCGTTACTGTGTCGGAGAAAATTTTACTGTGTCGGGAGCAACACAGTAAAACAGCTCATGGAGAACCCTGCGTCGATATATCTAAATGTCGAGTTGAAGGCAACAGCAAGTGTTTTCTTCTTATCACGTAAAAGATTTTGCATAAATTCTGCTTCAAATGAATATAAAAATAAGTTTGCTAATAACGGAGCACAATTTGTACCCATGGGAATTCCAATAGATTGTTGGAATACCTGGTCTCAAAAACCACATAGATATTGTCAATCAGAAACTCAAGCATCTTCTTGATGTCAACTTCAGAGTACTTATGTGTACAATCAGAATCTGTTTTAACAAAATAATTTTTGAAATGACCAATGACGAGGTAAGTAAAGTTACAAGTTCCATTTTTGTTGAAGAAACAGCTGTCAATGATATCAAAAAGCCTGGATTTTAATTTGTCGTGGGGAATTGTTGAGTATAAAGTTGAAAAGTCGTAAGTTTTTATGCTGTTGATTTTTGTGATTGTCTTGTGATTTCAAATTGTCCAAAAGCTCTTTAGAATTTCCACCATTTACTTCCAGACCCTATATCTTCGTAACGTAATCGTGTGTATTATACCCGTAAGTAATAAATAAGTGTTTTAAATCTTATGTATATAAATTAAACTATAATAAGAAATAAAAAGTATAAAAAGCTTGATCCGTTCCTTTTTATCCTTAGCCCTCTCTGTACACCTGTATATAGATAAATAGTTACATTAGGGAAGGTCAAAGGTTTGGGAGTGTTATTGGTTTGGTTGTGAAGTTGAATTTCATTGGTTTTATTCTTATAGCCATTGGTTTTACCGCCAAAATATCCATTCCTTATTTTGTTGAAAAATAACCAAGACTGTGTTTCACTGGCTCCTATGTCACTGACTTTGGAGACTGACAATTTCCATTTTCTGGTGAGTATTAACTTTCCTAATTACTAATTGTCAAGTAATATGTTTAGTATATAGAATTAAATTTGTTAGAGATCACTATTTCACATTATATTAATTTAACGAATGACCATGGGAGAATGTTATTTTTATGATTGGAAATATTGTTTGTAAAGATCAGTTATGAATTCTATTATAAGTATAAATTTTGAGTAAATATTCAAGTTACACCGTATATTTTTATGACCCAGATATTTGCTTACTTTGTTCGTGGAATATGTAATTTAATGACGTTCGATCCTGATATTCAAAGTCTTAAACGTTTTTTGCCAAGTATATTTGTAGTTTCTACATTCATAGGTTAATTAAAATTCAAATCAAAAAATGGGGGTCAATTAGCGCTTCTTTTAGCGCTACGGTACATTTATTATGACCTTTCTGCACTGAAATTTGTGTTTTAATTCAAATTAACATCTTTAACGTTTTCCCTCCAATATTTTTATCCAATTAAAGCATGAAACAAAATGAACTCCAAGTATGTTTAGTAAAAGACACTTAAAAATTGTGACTTAGAAAAAGTTTCAAATTGCTTCGCATAATCAATTACCTGACCTTTCTGAACTAATAAAATGTTATTTTTTCGGCATTGAGAATATAAAAGGCAAGAAAATTATCTTAAAGTCTTAAACTTTTTCTGATTTTAAGCAAATAGGTCAAAGTTATCTTGAATATTTAGAAAAGAACATCAAAAGTGGGGAAATATGATGTACATTTTCAGATATTACCAAAAAAGTGTGAAATTTACGTTAAAATTGGCTCAATTTTTTCCCGGATTTTCAGAATATATTTAATATATTTGTTACACTTTGCTGATAGAATTCATAAGAAATACTTTAATAGATATTTCAGAACCAGCATAACATATTTCACTGCAAAAAACAGCTCTGTGTGCAACCAGCATGGAAAAATAGGAATCCAAAATTAACAGTACTGTTATAGTTCAAATGGAAAAGAACTGACCATTTTCGTCTATAAAACCTTCCGCCACAGAATATAGTCCCTAGCTTAATTCTACTTGAATGGAATTTAGTCGCGGTTTTTTCATTAAATATAGTTTAATTTGCATTGTAGAATTCAGTTTTATTGTTAGAACTTAAAAATGATGCTAAATTTTATGAATAAAGGACCTGCGCGAAATACGCTCAAAATATCAGGATCGAACGTCCTTAACTTGTCCCCCAAGTCTGATATCTGAAGATGCACGAGTTAAAAGGTATTCTATATGTTTTGTATCATTGTTCTCACGCACTGAGCATAACCATGATCTATCAATATCACGTTCATGGGACATGTTCATCTTGGCAGGCCTATATTCCCAGGTGTACAGTACCCGCATCGTTATTCTGTACAATTCTATCGTGTTCTATCGTGCGTGTATCCTATCGTATCGTGCGTGTATCCTATCGTATTCTATCGTATCGTGTTTTCTGTTTATCGGGTTTTGCGTTTTCTATCGTGTTTTCCGTTTATCGTGTTTTGCGTTTATCGTGTAGATCGTTTATCAGGTTCTATCGTGTATCGTGTTTTGCGTTTATCGTGTATATTCGGAAACCCTCGTTTTTTATCTTTACTATGTAAAGAAACTACTGAGCTTTTCCGAGTTTCTTTTTCGTTTTGTTATTAGAAATAAGATTAATTCAACCAAAAAAGAAAAAATAAAGATTTATCACTTTCTTTTTCATCAATATAAGAAATATTAAAGCGTAGAAGGAAAAAATAATTAATCGCGTATTTCATGAATGAATAAATAAATAATTATATCGTGGTAAAGCAGAGAGTAATTGTCAAAATTTAAACAGTAACTCTATTTTTCGGAAACGAAAACATAAGTATATCGATCAACTGGTCTATTTCTTTAAAAAATGATTTATCGAATTATATGATTTATTTTGTCAAATTTAAATACTATTAATATGATTTTCTCAAATGAATCGGAGTTACCGGAGAAAGATTTTTGGTCAGCTATGATGTTCGCATAGACAAAAAGCAAATAAATAAATAATAAGCAGGATATTGAAATGTGTCTTTTAGTAACGTAGTAACGGTATCTTACTATAAAAATAAAACAAAGGAGCCGTCTGATCTGTTTTGTATTGTTAAGAAGAAAGTATCTAACCATTCAATGTTCGTTAATAAATACGAGATTTTAAGTATCTGTAGTGTAAAATTAAGTCAGAGCTTAGCGTAAATGTACATGTACAGTTGTAGCAGATTCATATTCTCACGACACAGTTTTCATGTATTAATGCAGATCACCATTATTTTAATAGTTATTTAGATTTCTATTCAGAAAACTTAATTTTCTTGAACTGCTTCGTTCTTGGTGGATCTATCATGTTAAATTTATTAAATTTGTTAAAGCCGTTTTCTTTAAACCTTTCTTTCGGCCAGTCTTCTACTTGTATTATTCTCTAAGATATCAATATTTAATTGCGATTTTTGGATACATCGCAGATTGTAAGCTTTAGACATTAAATACAGATTTTTAATTTATTACGTATATTTCTTTCGTGAAATAACTTGGATCTTATTCATTAATTTATTTGATAGAAAATTAGAATGTATATTTTTCATGAATAATAAATCTGTTTATAGAGTTTCAAAATTCACACACTTGAGAAGAAATTAAAAAAAATACAGTCTCCATTTCATAAACATCCATTTAATCACTGTCAATTTTTTTATACATATAAATAAACAACTTTTGTCAAATAAATGCAGAGATCTCATGCTTTTTTTATAAAAATTAAATGTACTTTATAGTTTAGATTTGAAGTTCTGCGAGTATTTAAATTAAAATATAATTTAATTAAAATCATCTTTAATCTTTAGATTTAATTCAAAATAATATTTTCGTCTTGTCAAAAAACGTTCCGCATTTTGAAACAATCCTATCAGGTTTTGCGTTTATCCTATCGTGTAGATCGTTTATCAGGTCTATCGTGTTTTGCGTTTATCGTGTTTTGCGTGTATCGTGTTTTGCGTTTATCGTGTTTTGCGTTTATCCTATCGTGCGTGTATCCTGTCCTATCGTGCGTGTATCCTATCGTATCGTGCGTGTATCCTATCGTATCGTGTATCCTGTAAAGAATAACGATGCGGGTACTGTATATTCCCACGCACTGCTCTATGAAAATTTCATCATACCATTTCATGGCCAATGAAAATAGAGCACGTGATTCGCAAGTATAGGGCGCTTTTTTTTTCGAAAATTTCTACATCGACAGCCATGGATGACGGCTGCGATTTTTTTTATCCAAATTTTTAGATACGGTAGAAACGGAAATCAAAATTTAAAATTCTGTAGACCAGTTAGGAAGCCTAAACATTTCACAATTAAACGATGTGTACCTCAAAGAAGAAGATTCTACACATATGGACTTTCAGACTATAAAATTTGACTTGGGTATTTTCTCGCGGGAGAATTCAATATATCAAAATGATGGTGACATGAAAATGGAAACTTTTGAATGTGTTGGGCCGAACGAATCACAGAATCGAAGGTTCGCTGAAGCTGTGTCGGATGATGATTTGTGGCAGCTGATTGACTCTCAGACAAATCCTAATACGCGGAGAAATACGAAATGGTGTGTCGAAATGTTTAATAAATGGCGCGCATCTCGAGAAAATGCACCTTACATGAAAGAAATGAACGCAGAAATGCTGAATTACTGATTACAACGCTTTGTGTTGGAGGTACGTAAACAGGACGGCAGTGAATATCCCCCGCGTACTCTCTTCTTCATTGTTTGTGGATTACTGCGTCATTTGTGAGAGGAAAACGTCCATAATATGAATTTTCTTGATGAACATGATCACCGTTTTGCCGTTTTCCGTAAAGTTTTGGACGCCCGTATGAACGAATTGTTATCAAAAGGCTTAGGCACCAAAGTGAATCAAGCTGAACCAATTTTGCCGGAAGATGAAGAAAAAATCTGGACTAATGGAGTATTCGGGTCACACTAATCTCAAGCTCTACAGTACACAGTTTTCTTATATAACTGTAAGATATTCGGTTTGAGGGCCTTTGACGAACACTTTGCTCCCAGTTTGAAATTGGGCAAGACAAACAAGGAACATTTATTCGAATTACGGGCAGATCAGAGGGGAGCTGAAACATCTGCAGCTTACCAATAAAGATTTAAAACATTACTGTCAAGAAGGTAAGTTGTATCTATTAGTATATTTTAAAATTGTACTCTACTAGATCTACAAAGCTTTTAATAATTTGTCCGGCGATTGCTTATTGTTGATGAAAATTAAAATAAGGCCACAAGTTTTGTTTTAAGAGTTATCTCCCTTTGATATTGATTTTCTACAGAATGTAGGCTAGGCCTAACGGGTTCGATTATGCGCAAGGCGCCGGTTTTGATATCCGTTTTGGAACACAGAGTTGGAAAAAAAAAACTGCTTCTCGATATTTGATCATTTATTCTTTAGGAAAGAAGACGTAGTGTATCTTATAATTTTCTTATTTTTTCAGGTGAACGGTGTCTTGCCGATTTCTATCGAACCTATCTCGAGGCTCTCAATGATGATGGACCTTTTTACCGCCGTCCCTTAGCTGTCGCAAGTCCTGTATGCGTGCGATATGGCGAACAAGTGCTGGGAGTTAACAAACTAAAGGGCCTGATGAAGGAAATTACAAGAAAAGCAGAACTGAAGGGAAACTTTACCAACCACTCGGGCAAGAGGACCTGCGCTACTCAGTTATACCACGCAGGGATCGACGAGCAGGAAATCATGTCTCGGACCGGTCACAGGTCAGAAACGGCAGTAAGGAAATACAAAAGATCAAATTCAGCACTACAGGAGCGTGTTTCCGAAGTTTTGAATCCCCCAAATGTGAAAAAAATTAAATGTGAAACAACCACGCTTTAAACGAATGAGTGTGAAAATATTCAAGATGAAAATTTGAGTCAGGTGTGCGACAGTGCCGTTGTATCTGAAAGTGAAATTGCGACTTCCAGACCAGCTGCATTTTAAAGCCAAATTTTTTTTTTATTTTTAACTCTGATGGCTTTCTTTGAACAGTGAAAAAAAAACAATTGTGTTTTCTTGCATTAAATGTCTTTTTTTGTTTTATTTCAGCACGTTTTCATTTAATGTTATGTACATGTAAGCACATGAAATTGCAATAAAATACCAGCTGCATTTCAAACAATGAAGTATTAAATCACAGGCTATACATGTATATAAAAAAATTGATATCATTATGGATATTGTGCTGCCTTTGCCTTAGGATGCAGCCAGTTAACCACACACAACATAAAGGTTTAAATCTTTATTGTTGATGTAATGTAATGGTAAAAAGCTGTAACAAATAAAATAAACAAATTAAGTCTCCGAATTAACAGTGTTCTTTAAATGTACATAGCTGAATTGTAAACATTAATGGTGATAACGGGTTTCCATAGAATAAATTTTTGGCGCGAGGTTTACCTACATAAAACATTATAGATGATGCAAATAATAATTGAAATAGCAATAATATGCTTTCTATTCAACCTCGATATACAATCAATCAACTTGAGTAGAAATATAATAACGATACACAGTATTTATGACTAGAACTTCAATACACAGATCTGTCGATTATTGTAATATTTAGACAATAAACAGCTACCAAAGAATAGGTAAAATATTTCTGATATACAAACACAAAATTTCACGAAATATGAACTTACACTGTGGTCAGCAGCAGGTATTTAAACAATAAAAACATAAGTGTCGCAAAGCCGCAGCCATGCGGTCGACATTGTAAACCGGAAACAGAAGAGTTCCAAAATGTTACAACTATGGGAGCCGGGACGGAACAGATATGTTAACTATGAGAGCTACATGTATACATGTAGATAATGTAATATGATAAAACTGGTGTGATATTATATTTTATTTCAGGATTATAACATTAATTTTGTATTTCATAAACTGCTCACTGTGTCTGAATAAATAAGACATAGCTTTGACAGAGGAGTGTTTGTCCCTTTTTACACCGCCCACTGTTACAACAAGAAAGGTTAAAACACACGTAAGCATCCAGCAATTCTTTTAAGCATTAGATTGAAAATTAATACTAGGTGCAGCGGATAGAAAATTTACTGAAATAGTTAAAATAAGCATCAAGTATAAAGAAGTTAATCTAAAAAGGTATGCAGAAATATCTATGAAAACAGATATAGCATAATCTATAAAAGATAATCTGTATATCTCTGTCTTTCTGTAATATTTTTTTATATTTTCCTGCAATTTACTATTGGCTCCTGCATTAGGTGTGTACGTCTCCGAGTTAATTTTATATGCAAGACCGTAATCAGAACGAAGGGGGCTAGTTACAAATAAGCTGATCATACAAGTGTAAATAATTTTGTTTAGAATCAATATTTTGCAAATCTAAGGTCGGTACAATAACAATATATGCTGACTGACCTATTTCACACATGTTCTATTTCATATTTTCCTTTTACCAAAACATGACATCGGACAAAAACAATTTGGATCTTTCTACACGTAATGCATGCAACTCACCGGCAAATGATATCATCTCTAATGTTTCAGAAGTCTTCGTTTGCTCTGCTCACAATTTGTACTGTTTAATTGGATTTTTGTGCATGATTAACGTTTTTTATTTCCAAATTTCATTTTTCTCACATTAGATATTTACTACAATGTGTTCCTATTTTGAATTATAAAAAGTACTACAAATTTCACTATAATTCATAGAAAATTTCATTTATGGTTCAACTTTTACATCAACACTGTTTTTCATTGTTACAATTATTTGAACATAAATAAATCTTAAAGTGTTCTTTATAATTTGTTCTGTAAAAATTCAAAAGATATTAGGTAGAGGGTCTGTTAAAAAGTGAATCTGTACTTTTTGTTTCCAAAAATATACCATTAATTGGATTAGTCTATTGTTTCAGCAAAGATCAAATAAAACAAATTCATCAGAAATTTAAATCAATTCTAAGGCCTAGCACAGCTTCCTGGTTATGCCAGGTTTTAAGATAAACAGAAATAAAATGTGAATAAAATTAATTAAAAAAATAATGTTTTAACCAATACATTTTAAAAAGTACAATTTAATGTACTGTATAAATAAGTACATCTTTTTAAATTGAATAATTTGCATCTAAAATTATTTATATGTATATTTTTTGTTAACAAAAAAAAAATATGTAACCAATCAATATAAGCGACATTTCATAGGAAAAAAAAACTTTAACATGTCAAACAAGAAAGGATTCTTTTAAAGTAAAAACAATCTTTGTTGCTCCAAAGAGTTTTTTGTTATACAGGGAAAAATCATATTACTAGAGGATCTCCATAGATTATTTTTCAAAAACGTTTCTACATCTTACAGAAGAGAATTATAAATACAGGTAAAAAGTTTAAAATTTTGCATGAATTGTTGTACTTTAAAGTCAATTAAATTATTACAGAGTGATTATATTTAGGATTATTTAAATAATCCTGATATTCTTTTATGAAATTTTCTCTTGATTTTGGATTTGAATCCTTATTAAGGAAATTTTAAATAAATGACTATGATGAAAGATGATTTCATAAAGCTGTTTTTAAATACTTGCTGTGTTTATTATTAAAGAAAGTTTTTTTTTGGGGGGGGGGGGGGGGCTTTCGTCACCATAGATAAAATAATATTTGTAAAAATGCCACTAATAAAATACCGTTTAGTTATTATATAAATTATATATATGTATAGCAGATCATTTCAATTTGTTCAGTTTTCTTGACTTTCTTCCATTACTTTATTTGCAGTTAAACGCTGTTAATGTTTTGTTGAAATTCTGATGCAAAAAACCTTTATTTAATATGTTATTTTCCTTGAAATGCAGTTGTGTTCCCCCGATTTTGGGTAGAAAAGCATGTTTTTCATAAGGATAATATTGACAATTATGATCTCACTTAATATCAATTCCTCGTATACTTTATCAAAAATTTATTATCAAAAGACTATTTCATTGTACATTTTCGACATGACTTTTTTCAAATACCGATATCATATTTAATTATTGGTTTAGGTGTAATCCGATTATTAATATATTCTATATATAAAATATTCCATATATTAAAAAGATATTGTTTATTTACAGTTAACATTTTTATGTCAATCAACGCTTTGGATGAAAGGTGACAATACAGGTTTCAGCGACTAAGTCAAACTTTTGAGAATTTCTTTTCTGCTGCAATAGATATTCCACACCCAGTTAAAATGATATATTCTGTAGAGGTTCTGAGATAATTCAGTTTTGTTTTTTAGATTTCTAGAAAATGATTAAGGTAAGACGACAGCTTCATCAAAAATATATAACTTTTTCCTACGAATTTATCATTGAAGTCTAGGTACTTGAACAAGTTTCCTCACAATAAATTAAGGTACCTTACCAGGCATTTTGACAAGATACCACAGGGTCATATTTCTTATATAACCCTTTTCGGCAAACTTCTGAATGCGCTTTATCACAATCTTTGGTATACTTATATTTAAATTTTTTTTTAAAACAATGTAGAAATCAAAAGATAAAGACAGATTTGAAGTTTTTTTTAATGTAATACCAAGAGATACAAAACAAATATTTATGGAACGTGCCGGCTGACCTTAAATAAAATATTCATTCCTTTGTTATTGGCAACTATTATATTTACTTCATCTTTTTTGCAACTTCAAATTCAGATGTATTTTACCCATTTCAATACTTGTTTAACCCACATTACAGTTGTGTGTAAGTAGATTTTTTATTTGAGGAATAGAACATATCATATTTTATCTGGACGCCATCCTTTATGTATTATTTTGTTCACTTTGCTTATCTGAAAATCGCTTAGTTTAAATGCACTTTTTAACTCTGTCTCACTGAGAGAACTGAAAAAGCTTCCATCCAATACTTCCCGTTCACATACAGAGGCCAACGATGTTAATTTGGCCGTTTTAAATAAATTGACGACCTCTTCAGTTGTCATGTCACTGAATTTTTCCTTCCAAGGTCTTGGTTGTTTTTTGCCATCTTGTTTTGTTACTCCTAGGGACGCCTGGAATCTAGATGTCGCATACTTACGGCGTATAATGGGTGCAAGATTTGTTAGATCTGGGTAGTCGTAGGCATCACTACCTTGACTATCAAGCCCGAGATCACCACGTCTTGGTAAAACACAACAGGAATGAGGATGGCTTAACGTAGGCACATTTTTGTTCTGCTTTATCTATAAAAACAATACAATTTTAGGTAATTGAAATATTGACAATACTATCTTTTTTATTAAGTCTATTAAAATTTTGTACATAAATTTATGGAAATAGGATAATTGTAAAATACCTTTACAAAACTCCATGAGCCACGTTCAATCTTTTCTGAATCGTCTTAAACAAAAAGAAAATAAAATCACCTGATCATATTTATGTAGTTTTGTAAGGCCCATGGATCATGAAACATGTTAATCTTGAGTAAAATCTGATCTGTATATTGAATTACTTATCAAGCCAGGCAAAGATTAATCTAAATATTGTTTCACAACATGTTGTTATCTGCAAATAGAGTATTTCAGAAATTGTTAAACATTTTACAGGCACTTAGACTTAAACTGCTTCATGATCATGGGACCTGGTCTTTTAACAATATGCTGGATTACAGTTGGTACTAATTGTTTCCCGTTATTAGCAGATATTTTGTATTGATGTGAAGAATTTATTTTTAAAACCTCTATATCAGATAAAAGCAGTTGCTGTGGCCTTCAACTTGACATATCGATTTATCGACGACATATTATAAATTAGCAATGGTTACTTTCAATTCTAATGTCGATACGTCATTTCATAGACAGCTTTATTAAAAGATATCACAGAGTCTGACGCATCCTTTTCATAACTAGATATTTACTGGAAGAAGACGTTGATAGTACCCTAACAACAATATCAACAAAGCTTTATGAAAATCGTGATGACTTTAACTTTTCAATCGTCAGCTTCCCTTCCTTATGCAGCAAAATACCTTATCACCTCTACATGGAATGAATGTCTCATAGTTGATTTGATGAGCAAGAACTTTCCCTACGTATGAAATTCTTTTTAAAACGAGGCAAGCTATTAACAAACATGTTAATGAAGCAAGAATTTCAACGGTCTCGTTTGAAGGTTTATGGTCGATACAATTACCTTGACAGCAAATACAACAACGTTTAATAAGGGCAAATAGCAACTTATTTTATTTATAATAATTGTTAGCCCATTATATTTATGAAGGATATGGAGATAACGAATAGAATTCAATCTCAAAGTCCATAAAACAATAAAAAATAGGGGCAGAGCAAATACGGACCTCCGAGACATCAGAGGTGGGATCAGGTACCATGGAGGAGTGAGCATCCCCTGCTGACCAGTCACACCCGCCTTGTGCTCCTTGTCATGATCGGGAAATAACGGAAAAATCCGTCGTCAATTCAATGTATAAATAATGGACTAACAATAAGTATGAAAAACGTCCATCAGCTTTTGATTCAATGAAAAATTGTATTTTTTAGTAGAACACACTTGAAATTATAAATTCCAAGTTTCATCTTATCTTGTCAATTGATATATCTTTAGGCATAAGCTGATGTTAAACAAAAGAATACGTCACAATGATCTTTCTCCCAAATTTCAAAGTTTAAAATGTTTGCTAAATACATGCACTAGGTATTATTTATGCTAGGAGATTACAAACTATGAATCTTTTTTAATTGTTGCATTGTTGTGCCCTAACTTTTTGAGATCTGCCAATCCAAAAGAAGCCTAATAATACTTTAATAAACAGCTGCATAGCAATGCTATTGAATACAATGTTATTAAAAGATGAGTTTCAAATTTGTCAAAATTGCTCTTCATTCATTATACTATTTATTTTGAAACGAATAAAAAAAATCGCTTTCATTTTATTTCATTAGCCATTTTTTCCAATTTCACTTAAATCAATCCATATCTGATATACAAAATTTTTCAAAAATGATTCTTAGAAATGCTTCTTGCGTCGTCAGATAAGCATTCAATGACATCTTATTAAGTTCAAAAAAGTGATTAACCAGGATTAAATCATTGAAAAACTTAACATATGCGTATATTTTTAAAAAGATATCTTTAATGCATTAGTTTTCTAAATCCAGCGTTTTGTGGATTTTTATCTTCAATTTTTGTTGTATCCGACACATGAACATATTTATGTTTTATATTTAGGGCTGGGCAATAATATCGATATTTCAATATATTGCGATACAATGACAAAAAATATCGTATCGCAATACGATTTTATAATATCGATATATTGGCAATATGCTTATATTAAGGAGATTTGTTATTAAATATAAAAATGGACTTGTGAAAGTTTGATATTAAGTCAAACAGTAAGACAGAAGTTGTTTTGTGGGAACATTTCAGAGCATAACTTTAATGAAATCAACACGATTTGTTTTCCGTGTTGGTTACTTATCATAGTTATGTACATTCTGCATGTAAATTAAAGTAAATATAGTAAGAAAATGCCATTTAAATTACATTGAAAATATTGCAATACATATCGCAATACAGTTAAGAATATCGCAATATATCGCAATACGAAATCTCGGGCCAATACCCAGCCCTATTTATATTAGAATTACCTGACAAGCTACGTAAAGTTGAATGCAACCAATCACCGTCTTCACGTTGTCTTCCTTTAGGACCAGATGACTTTTCCCAAGTGGTAAATTTCAAGGTCTTCTCAATGTTGAGCATAATGTCTATAGCTGATTTTAAGACGAAACCGAAGTTTGATTTTGTTAAAAACAAACGAGGTGCAATACCACAATACATGCCATAAATTTCCATAATTCTGTCAATATCTGCCGCCAAACTATTGTCAGATGGATCAGGGGGGTTTCCCCACCCATTTCTATGAGGCAAAATACCACATATAGTTTTGAATAAAATGTACATCAAAGGTATATCACAGCGTTCGTAAACATTAGAATAAATATCTGGTTGTAAATAAAGTAATCTATACTGAGATGGGTTTAATAAAGGCTGCAGAATCTTTTTATACATCCTTAGTTTTTCTCCAAAAGAATGTGTTGGTTGATAATGCAGCAGAACTTTTCGAAAAAGGGCAAAAAATTCTTCCCTTAAGAAGAAGGTATGGTTTTAGCTTTATTGCGCCCTAAAAATGTATTGACATCAAAAAGTTTTGAAACTGGCTTATATTATTAGGAAAATAAATGACTGATAAATCAGGAAAGAATATGGCATGAAGATTTACCATTCTGCAAATATGACGTCATTAATGTGAAGCATTTCTCTATTTTCCACAGAAAAAGCCTCAAAATGGCACATTTCAAGGGAGATTTTCCTTTAGAAAACATTGTCCACAGCTGTCGCCCACAATAATTTTTTGATATCTTATGCAAAATTCAATTACAAATCACATATCTCAAGATCTTTGTGGGCGATGCCTGTGGACAATGTTATCTGAAAGAAAATTCCATTGAAAATTGGTGTCTTCTGCAACTTTTTAAGAAAATACGGGAAAATGCATTTGTTTATGACGTCATAATTAGCATTTAAAAACACATGTGATAAGAATGACTTGTATGATTTTTCTACATTGAATTTCAATTATTTGAAAAGCACGAGTTTTCAACTTTTACATCAGTTTCATTTTTTAGAAAATCACAGGGCAAAATTTGTATGGAAACCATACCTTCCTCTTTCATACCGAAAAAAATTGATGCTGTCTCACATGAGAATGATGCTTCTCCATATTCTAAAAAGAAATTTGAAAGGTGAGTTTATGTTCTTTTCCTAGAATGAAACATATGGGGATAACGAACCTAGATATATAAACTCCGCATGCAAAAGTATACAAATAAGTAAACTGTGCTCTTTCATGTTGCTCACAGAATTCAAAATTCAAGTTTGAAAAGGAAACTTGCCTATCTATTACATGTTTAAGAATCTTGAATTTAAATTTATCTACAAGCAGCATCGTGAGATAATAAACTGACTTTAAATTTTAGACGGGTACATCAAAATTTCTATAGATATTGTTTGTCAACTGATTTAATTACAATATAGATCTATGATAATATGCATAATTAGATTAAACATCAGAGGTAAGCCTGTGGGATATTTTTTTTTCAATAAAATCATGCGGTTAACCTCACTAAGTATACAGAGTAAACGCAATGTTCAGCTTTATAAGAAAACCTCTTCTAAGAATTTCACTTCCATTTTCCTTCATATTTTGAGTGTGAAATCTGGCTTTGTTTGTAGAAATTAAAAGAGAAAAGGTATAGGAGTATTTACCTGTTTTTTCAATATTGATCACATATCCATCAATTTCAATTCTATCAACCTTATACTCCGCTTATTTGAGCATCTCTTCTCTTTTCTTTAAGAGTGTTTCGGCAAGTTTTTTTTTCGACTTCTATAAGAATAATGAAACTGCTTTCTCGAATAACGCCGACCACCTGGATGGATTTAGGATCACATTCTACGATTGCTGCCACTGTTTCAACCAAGGATTCCAACTTTATAAAATTTTCTATATCGTCGACAACATGCAGTCTAACACGTGAACACCCATCTGTGAAAGATAATTTATATGTTGATAACTTAAATGCATATTCTACATTTTATTTAAACCCTTACATAATGAAACTGAATTTTGTGAACTTTGGAGAGCAGGTATTCCAATTTCAATTCCCACGGGTACCAATTGCGCCCCTATATCGGAAGATGTTTCTTTTTTATGAGTGTAATATAAACTTTCTGCATGAAAAGAAAGATTCTTGATTATACATATGATTGATTGATTGTATATTGTTTATCGGGGCTCGAGAATTTTCCAGTCATGGAGATGCCACCAATTGCCGGTGGAGAGCTGTAAATTTTGTCCTTTACTCAGCTCTCCGGGCCATTGAGCAGGGAGTGATCTTTTCGTGCCAGTACCTACTGCGACACGGGACCTCGGTTTATACGCCCCATCCGAAGGACTGGTCTCCACGTCCCGCAGTGGGATTCGAGCCCGCAACTCCTTACTTACTTACCCTCTTACCAATGCGCCAAGCGGGCAACTCACACTTCAGATGACAATGAAATAAACTTAAGGGGAAATATCTCTCTGCTCGAAATTTCAACATTATTTTAAATTCTCAACATTTATTTTTATCAACAACAATAGCATAAGATTCAAATGTAAAATAGTTTGAAGCTTGAAGCTTTGCTTACTTTTTCAGAAATAAATAATATGTCAAATGATGATGTGAAGAAATTTGATATGGTAAATAGAAAGATTAATCAATTTTATCTCACAATAAAATTGGATATATAAGGTATATATGAAAATTATAATTACTCTCATACCTATCTAATTCTCATTATAAAACATACTGAAGAGTTGCTGTTTATATCAGAATATCTAATTGATTTATGCGCTAGAAGATAATACCCATCCATCAACAAAAGTTATCTTTCCATTATCGCCCTTGAAAATAGTTTTTATTAAACAAAATATCAATTACATATTTTTAAACAATTTTGCATCTGAAATTTCTATAAGAATTGAATAAATTATACGTTAAAAGATAGAAAAATCTCATTTGACACCGTTTAAAGTAACAAGGTATAAATGTTTAGGTAAAATATTATAAATAATTAACAAAAAGATAAGCAAAAGAAACTAGAAATTAGCATCTGAAAATTAGAACAGATACGATAGATGTGGACTATAAAGCCGTCCTATTTAGTGAAATCCGTAAATTCTGACATGATAATTCATTGAATTCCGTCAAAATTGTCCCCAGAGAGTTATCTCTCTTATCAAAATTGTCTTCAGAAGGTTATCTCTTTTATCAAAATTGTCTTCAGAAAGTTATTTCTCTTATCATGTGTTTTCTGATCAATTCTTGATTGGTTGTATAAGGTGATGGAAGTGTAATTATGTCAGTTTTATGAATCAGACATTTGACATAGAGACCTACATTAAGTAATTCTCTTATACTACATGTAATGAGTAATATGATTCTAATTTTATTAAATGTAAAATCTGTAATTTTTGCACTTAATTCCTGATATCATTTTTTCTAGAGTAAATGTATAGTGAGAGTGAAACCTTATACATAGAGTTACCGGTATGTGTATATAGTACATTGTAAATACATGTACATTGCTGTCTCACTTTTCATACTTTTTAAGTAAACTTTATTTTATGATTATTATAGATATCTACAAAGTTGTTTATTGTTGATTTGTAGATATTGAGTTTTTCCTATGCCTGTCTATAGTGTATGAAGCTTATATGTAGTTGTGTATGATCCATTCGCATCGAATTGTATGCATGACGCATGTAATGTTGTTGTTATGCCGAACAATAATTTATCATGTAGATATACATTGAAATGATAATTATTGTAATGGTTTAACCCCCATCCCCGCAATCACGCATTTTAACGCATATACCGTTGCCCCGCAATCACGCATTTTAACGCATATACCTTTGCCCCGCAATCACGCACTTTAACGCACTTTTCGTTTTTGGCGTTTTCCGCTATTATAACGCGTAAAGTTTTGATGGTATGATGATAAATGATTAGATTATAAATTTTGTAATTCCATTCTAATATCTTTCGCAAACAATAATATTTTTCCTCAATTTAATATGTCCGAATCGTTCGATTTATTTGACGAAACTTGAAATGCGAGACAAATTAAGGTCTTTCTTTTGACGCTGAATAAGCTCACCACTTGATCCACTTGTTTTGGTGATGTGGAAGTCACTCAATCTTGTGTGAGATGGGACCCTTGATTCAGAATTTATCGAATTCGACGAATGATTTTTTTTATGTAAGTGTTTGATAAAAACCGGTGCAGAAATCAACAGAAGAAACGTATAATATTACACAAGAATTTTTAACACTCATACAACCGTAGAGAAAAGAAGTTTGTTCATAGAATATAGCTTTGTTCCAGTTTACATGTAATCTTATGTTACATGTAGTCTCATGTTGTCTTATTTCTTGTTTTATTTGAATTCAAATCCGTAAAACCTGATTATTTTCCTACCTTACAAATGATACACAGAAATAAAAAAAATACACATACACAAATAAAAAGGGACAGAATAAAGGAACGACAATATCATGTTGAAAAAGAGGTTGATTTAAATTTGAATGTTTTCATTATCAAGTCTACGTTTCCGATTTTGTAAATAAAAAGTGTCGCACTTACTCGATTCTAAACATATACGTATACATGTATACATAAAACAAAGGTATTCGGAAAAAAATTAAAGTATACTGAATACTTGTTTGATATTTTTTTTTTATATAAAGGCAGAACAAACAAGAAGTCTGTGAGCCAATGCTCACCAATAATGCCCCACTCTGATGTGAATTTACACAAGTTCAGTTACAGGCAGATGCACGGAAAAAAATATGAAATTGTTATCAGATTCATATGCAAAAAATCCCACTATATGACATTGTCTCAACAAAGATTGTGCTAAAATTTATAGAATCTGCGATGAGTAGTTGAATAGAAAAATGCGATAAAAATTTGTTACATGTATGTTTGGTACGGACAGACGCACGGTAATACAGGAAGTTGACATCGGATTTGAACAAAAATGAAACCACCATATGGCATGCCACAGTGACGAATGTGCTAAAATTTAAAACATCTGTAACGAGTGCTGTGTACGTGCTGAGAAAACTGCGATTAAAAACTTTGTTACGGACAGACACACAGCTAGATAGACGGAAAAACACACAAGGGTAAAACAGTATACTCGGTCTCGTTCGCAGCGGGGGTATGGTTAAAATACTTATGTCTACTGATTAGTTTTATCAGTGGGAGTATAGTCCCTTATAGGGATATATCCGCTTCGAGTACGTTCATATCGTGAGTATATTATTTGAAAATATTCACTCATATCAGTCGCTTTCAAAATGTTTGAAAAAATATATATACTCTGTAGGTTCATGTATGTCAACACTGCATACTTTAAAAATAATAAGTTTTGAAAAATCTTAATTGGCGAAGTAAACTTTCAAGAAGAGGAAGGCGATGTGGTCTGATTGGATTCTTCAACCAGCAACATGTTTATGTTATACTCAGAGAATACTTTTGTCATCCACTTGTGTATGGACAGTTAACTCGTGACTGTTTTCAAAGGGTAGTGCAGCTGGTAAATACGTGTACTATGTAGATACATTAATGAGGAGCAATGCATTTGGACGCTTAAAACTTCATTCTTTCGGGGGGGGGGGGGGGGGGGTATACATCTTTGACCAACAGCGATCTAAAATCTAAACTATTCTCCGTATTTCTTCTCCGGAATTATATTATTACATTTAGAATTTCCGGTATGTTTTTCTTCGATCAACAGCTAGCTTATTAAATAAAGGGACTGATTATAAAATATATTTAGCGTTTCATTTTACGACAGGAATGCTTAGCATTTCGGACATTTTTTTTTGAAGGGGGGTGTGGGGGTGTATATGGATCTTGTCTACAAAGTTTATGAAAAATCGATCAATAAAAAAGAAAATCAGCTACACTTGAACTATATTATGTCAGTGATGTCCGACACACATGAAACTGATCTCAATTTAACATCCATGTTTTTTAAAGAAAATAAAGCTTCTGATGTCAATTACTTGCCGGTATTGTTCAAAGATAATAATTTTCAATTAAGAAAGTCTTCGTTCACAGTTTTATTTCCTGAAATTTACTCTTCAATAAATGTCGGAAAATAAAACTATAAATTGTCAGTAAACTATGTTATGTCGGAAATAAAAAGTAGAATATAAATAATCGGAAAAAAGAATGCAGTCAAAATATGGAGATAATCTGTTTATTCTCCTGTCTGATCTATATGAACATTTATTTCGGTCAGAATTGTATATCTTTAACAAACACAATCAATTAATTTTTTTCTGTCGTTAACTTGTATTTTTCAATACTATAATAGTAATATCATGGAATATCACAAAAGTATATAGTGAAAAATTTATATTCACTACGCATTAACTCCTGATAGAACCTGAGTAATTGATTAATTATATTATATATCATGTTATTAATTAGATTTTTTCTGCAAGTTTGAATAAATTGATATAAATACGTCATTTTCTTAATTACAGTGGACAGGTTTTCGTGTACATCGACCCTGCATGTTCATAAAGTTCATCGTGTCATAGAAATCTGATGGCAACCCTAAGAAAAATTGGAACTACTTTTTATATTTCTCAAAAAATATAGCTACAATTAATGCAATTTCATAGAAACATTTTTAAGAGTACTGTCTCGTTTACTCCACAAATAATCGGAATACTTATAGGACAATATCGGGAAAATGTCGAGGACTGATCGCTTCGTCCGAGGAGTTCTTGGACTCGTTTGTAAACTATTCTATTGGTTTTAAAATGTGTAAAAATTCCATTGCAACAAAAAACTTCCTTTCGATGTTTTTCTGTTTTAATTTATTTATTTATTGCAAATTCGCCTACAGCCCCATATCTCCCAAGTTTTTCTTCATTGATAAACGTGCTGATTTTTTAGTAGCCCACATGTACTTGTAGGTGTAAATATTCTGCAATCTTCGCTATAGCCAAGGGGTTCCGATACGCTTAACATCTCCACCATGCACTAGAGTAGATTTTGGATCGAAAACCCTTGGCTAGCAAGGTTTAGATATATATTGCTAATTTAAGACTGATTATTTTAATGTCGAGTCCCATGGCAGTATTTCATCCGTATATCAGCCAAAATATTAATAAGAAGATGTGATAAGTTAAATTTTATTACATGTATTTTGAAAATTAAAATGTTTTCCATCGACTATGTGCAAGTGGTGTTCAATAGAAATTAAGCGATATCATAATATTCCAACAATATTTATTAATTAAAAAAAAAACCCTCTCGAATAAATAAATCAAGTTAAATGTGCTGAAAGCTACAAATCCTTGTTGTCCTAAAAAATATATTAAAAACGTGTTATAAAATTTTTTTTCTCAAGTGATAATCCTTTTCTACTAGGTAGACCTCATTTCTAATTTTATTTATAATTGAAAGATTCTGCAAGTTTCGATAAAATGGTAATGCATGTGACTGAAGAAATAAAAAAGGGGGATGTGTCGCTGTCTGTCATTTTAACAGGAGCATAAAAATGACACCCTGAATGAAACTCAAACAATTATTTTGAACGAAGTTTTTGATTTAGATTTAAAATTCATAATAAATTACCTGTAAACTATGATAATATATCAAGTCTGTAAAAGTCCACATAAAAGAATTATTTAAACAAAATAAACAGGATTAAATCATCATCAAAATACTTGAATTCATTTTAAAGATGATTGTATAAATATTAGGGCTATATGTACGGCAACAGTTGCTAATTATACACCGTGTAAATGCATCCTCAAACCACGTCTTTTCAGAACGTAATCGCAAGTGCGCTGCGGGGAAAAGGATAACGTCATCAAAAGTTAACAAATGTAATGCTACTATTACGTCACAGACAGCGAAAGGGGCAAAGAGTTAATGATAAATAGTCATTGATTACAGAAGTGGGAGATTTTATTGTGTATTTTGCAAAGTTTTATGCTAGATGTTTATAATTCATTTCATTATAGGGTTTCTTTTCTTATTGATTGATAAAGAGCTTATCTTGTTATACCATAACCAGCAGCCCTCTTGTTTGTTTGACATCAACAAGTATCATACAAGTCTGTTACAAAAAAATCTAACGATGACGTTAAAGTTGTCAGTTAACATATTTTGAATATATGGAATGAGAGCAGAGTAGGCGAAAACACGAGGTTGGTATTTTATCGCAACAATGAGCTAATGCAAACTATAGTTAGGTCGAATTTGCTGACGTTTTCTATGCAACTTGTTGGGTCATTTTTCCATGAATTGAATAGGGATTTTTGTACGTTTGTCCGGGCATGACAAGAAATACCGCGCGGGTGTGATAAGTCGACAGAGGATATAACTCGATTTTCTTTTAAAATCCCAGTTTGCTCTGCTCACAATTTTGTATTATGTCAACGGACTTACGCACATGTTTATTTTTTGTTTCATTGTTAGAATTAAAAATCTATATCTACCTGCGTGTTTCTCCTCCTGAAAATAACACAATCTCTCCTTCCTACTGGTGGCGAAATCAATGCATTTTTGTTCTAGATCCGGCCGTTTAATGAGTCTCATGAGATACTGCATGGCTATAACATCTCGGTCAGTAAAAACTTTTTTATGTTTCAGTAGATTCAGGAATTCTGTGACACTGTTCAAGCTGTTGAGAGATTCTTCATCCACTGCCAATATTTCTGAAAATTGTATCACGTAAATTAATGGATCACTGAAATGTTTAATAAATCAAATAAACGATGCAGGATGGAGACACCAGAGTTTCGTAAATGTTTGGTACCTTTCAAGGAATCCTTTAGAATGATCATTTCTGGTCCTGAAATTTGTTCTATTAAAGCACGTCGTAAATTGTTAAACCTAATCTTTATCCCATTGTCCTTGTAGATGGAAAGATTGACCCCTAAAATCAAAATAAATATAAAAATGTCTATAAAACATTAAAGAAAATTTACAGAAAAAAGTAATAATCTAACGAAGGAGAAATTTTAATAATCAAAACATATCAATATGTCCTCAAAGTAAAGAAAACTTAAACATGATAATCTGTCCTAATAGTAAAGAAAACATGTGTCCTCAAAGAAAAGAATTCCCAGATATTAAACCTCCAGACTAAAGAAATTTTCCGCCAAAACAAGAAGTCAGTTGATCAACAAGTTTGTTTTATATACAATCATTCTGTGTGGTGAAAACACCTGCTTTGAAGCTATATTGGACAGATGTTCACCCTCCAATAACTGGCCAATCACGTGGGAGAAAATACAGGGAAATATAACAGAACAACTCGACACAAGTAAAAAGAAGTACAGGGGCAGTTCCAGTAGGTGTTTAGTGATAACAGAGGTATCAAAGGAGGACGAAGGGGAATATAGAGCCGTCATCTCGAGAGAGAACAATGGAACACACATGAAAATACCAAGCAATTCCAAGCGATTGACAGTTACTGGAGGTAAGTGAGAGAGAGAAAAAAAAAGAGAGAGTTGTTATAAAAAAGATTTATAAAATATTCTTTGTTGTCTGTGGCACTAACCTAAATGATAAATATTTAAAACATAGCTCATTTTTTTTAAATCGAAGAACCGAAAACACGTGACAATTTTAAGTAGGAAGGGAATTATGAATAAGACGCTCTCTCTTTTAGGTTTTTACTACGGTTGCATAGTAATTTATCAACAGGAAATAGAATAGATTTATATTTTGTTGATAATTAAAAAGTGCAGTAAGGATATACATTTGGCACTATTTTAGATTGTCCAACTCTAGCAATGCCCAAGGAAGTTGAAGTCCCTTATGGTTCAGTAGCTGTGCTTCAACCTGTCATAGAGGCATGCCCACCCCCGGAGTCTATAGAATGGCAAAAGAGCAAATGTATGGATCCAAACGCGGAAGATTTCAAAATAATTGACTTAACAAAGCCGAAATATTTAGGGAGTACACTGGATCAAACAAACTCAAAATTAGTCATAAATGATACATCATTTAAAGACGGTCTTTTTTATCGACTTCTTGTAGAAAATATGGTTGGCAAATCCACCTGCAGTACATTTCTCAACGTTGTTGGAAGTAAGATTGTTTTACACGTTTATTTTTTTGAAATAGTACAAACATTATCTCAAAGGATGAAAAAAAAATTAAAATTATTATATTGAGTATAGGTTTGAGTTAAAATGGATTGTACTTTCACTTATTAAATACTTTTTCTTGTTTTCTTGACTGTGTACATGCTTTGATATAGATCAATTGATTTTATACAGCTCCCCTTAATGTGATAATGAAAGATGACACTGATTTTCTAGAGAGGAGAATAACCCTGGTTTGCAAAATTCTCTGTGAAAGCACGCATCCATTGACAGGAGTAGTGTGGACAAAAGACAGCAGTACGATAGATGTTTTAAGTTGTAATGGAAAATACATAGGAGGTGGTATTGAAAACCCATCACTAACAATCAACAACCTCAATGCCTCTGACGCTGGTGTATATCAATGCTGTGTCTCCAAAATTGTTGAATCAACGCACAGCGAACAAGTGATTCTAGGTATCTTTTTAGTCATTCGTACCAAACGATCGAGTGAGCTACTCTGACGGAAGGTATTCGAAGTGCATTTTTTTGTCCTTCAAGATTAATATCTTCATTTCTACCTACAAGCCCTATACCAAATTCAAACAAACCTATCGTAAGCATTACTAGGAAAAAGACATTTATTTTTTCTTTCAAACCCTGTAAGGTGATCAGGTGATGGTTTAATGGCCAAGATTTGTTTTGCTACCGATATGTATAGTTTCCATGGACTTTTTACCTTGATTACTGCTCGTTATCGCCATATATATATATATATATATATATATATATATATATATAAAGAGTGTTTATCGTCAACATAAGAACAGGGTAGAAATATATTGACATTTAGAGGAGTAACAAATTCAAAGAAAAATCAGAACAAAGGGCAATGTATGCATGTATTTTTAAACGTCATTTTGAAGATCAACATAATAATATTCATATCATAAAATTGTTAGTAAAGTTTTATTTCTTCCAACCATTTTCAGCTGTACCAAATGTTAAACTCTTAATGAGGGACAGAGACATTGGAAATAAAGTTCTGAAGGTGCAAGCATCCATCAAATCCGTTCCGGATGCCTTTATGATAGAGTGGAAAGTAAAGATGACTCCGGGCGATGAATTCAGACCAATTAATATACACGACGAAACCTACATGGGGAGCACAATTTCTCTTCCAAATCCATTGCTAATTGTCAATAAATACAACACCAAGAATTTGCAATCATATAGAATAGAAGTTACCAATTTTCTTGGTGTTAGGATTGTTACAAGTCAAGGTAAGGTTAAGGTAATGCAAACAACTGTTTTAGAATATGAACATAATATTAGAATACTAGTACATGTATATCGGTTTGGCAAGGATTTGGCATCGAATGTGAGGTGTTTTTGTTTACCTATTCTTGCAGACCATTACGATAAATTGTAATCATCACTTAAATATTTAAACGATGATCGAATACTAGTTTTAGACAATGTTTAATGTAAAAAAAGTAATCTTTTAGACTTTCTTAGGAGCATTCAGAAGAAAAGAAGAAAAATCGATTGAGAGATTATAATGACAAATATATTTCAAAATATTTCACACAGATACACGTGTATGATTTGTATATCAATTATTTTTTAATATTTATCATCTGCATTCTAATTAATCATTTTTGAAAAAAATTATTGATCTGAAAATATATTTCACGTAATTCAAAACAATAAAGATAGCATTCCTATCAGTAAATGTTCCTTTGAAAAAGAAACTTATTTGCAAGAATTATGTGTGTTTTAGAGGCTCTGAAAGAAAAGCAATTACCCAGAGAAATTGGTATGGACTGTTTGAACGGTAAGTGAAATAAATAGAATAGATTCGACATTTTGTTCTTAGGTATTGATTTTAGCACATATGTAAGACAAAGATTTATTAAATATTTACATTTCGAAACACGAGTATCATCCAAAAACCCTTGTTTCGTATATGTACTTTCTCAAATATAACGCAAATGATTTTCAAATTATTACATATTGTTTATCATTTCTGAGGACTTTGACTTTGCTATTTTGTAATGCATGCTGTTACGTGATGGAAGTGTGCAATGATGTGAATTTTTAGAGCTAAGAAATGGAAAGTTATTGATATATACGCAGTAATTGCTTGTATGCTTTATTTAAAAGAGAATGTATCTTTTATGAATTCCTATTGCTTACAACAGGCGTGACCTGTCAACATCAGATGCTCACTCCTCCTAATCATCTGATCCCACCTCTAGAAGTTTTATTATACCCTCTTTACATATTTTTATTAGTTCGATCAATGTTCATTAGTTTCATTTTTTATATATATTTTCTACATAGTGCTTTAGAATGAAAATGAATTTTTTTATTAGAGAAATCACACAAACTCTTTGTTTTGGTCTAATTCTTTTTTTAACTTAGAGGACATATCATCATGTTTTCTTTATTTTGAGGACAGGTCATCCTGTTTTCTTTACTTTGAGGACAGATTATCATTTTTACTTTACTTTGAGGACCAGTCATCATGTTTACTTTGAGGACATATTAACATGCTTACTTGACTTTGAGGACCAATCATGTTTTCTTTACTTTGAGGACAGGTCATCATATTTACTTTGAGGACAGATTAACATGTTTACTTTACTTTCAGGACCAATCATGTTTACTTTACTTTGAGGACAGGTCATCATGTTTACTTTGATGACAGATTAACATGTTTACTTTACTTTGAGGACCAATCATGTTTACTTTACTTTGAGGACAGGCCATCATGTTATCATTGAGAACAGATTATTATGTTTACTTTACTTTGAGGACAGATTATCATGTTTACTTACTTTGAGGACAGATTATCATGTTAACTTTTTCAAATCATTATGCTAACTTAATTATCAGGGCAGATTTTTACTTTACTTTAAGGACAGATCATGATGTTTATTTTACTTTGATGACAAATCTTAAAGTTTAATTCACTTTGAGGACAGACAATGTTTTTTTCACTTTGAGGACAAATCATGTTTCCTCTTAATTTTGAGGACAGATCATCATATTTTCTTATTCAAAAGGTGGATCACATATTGTGTTTGTGTGTGTTTTAGGACAGATGTTTTCCTTACTTTGAAGAATGAACATAATAATTGCTTAATTATTAGGACAGATATTTTTTTTTCTCTGACAGTTCAGAATTCTTTACACTGAGATCAGTCATGGCTTCTATACTTTGAGATGAAATATCAGAATGTTTACTTCTGCCACATCAGAACAGATCATAATGATCTCTTTACTGATAGACTAGTATTTTTTCTATATGATATATGTGTAATAGAGTGAAATTTTACATGTTTTTAATGAATTTATTTTTCAGGTATTTTCTTTGATTTTATGATCATTTTCAGAGTTTAAATTGAAATATTTAAATAAAGATTTATTTCATTCAAACTATAAATTAAAGTATGTGTTTTGTTATTTTATCATTTATGAAGTCTTACAGGTAAAGTATTTAGTTATCTTTTGGGT